GTTGGGGGGAGGGGCCGAGCCCGGGCTGCCCCCCCTCTGGGCGGGCGTTGGGGGGGCTGCCCCCCTTTGGGCAGATGTTGGGGGAGCGGGCTTCCCTCTCCTCTCCCCCCTCCCCGGAGGAGTGTTGGGGGAGAAGGTGACCTGGGGCTGCCCCCTCTCTGGCCGGGGGAGTGCTGGGATAGGGGCCGAACCGGGGCTGCCCCCTTTCTGGGGAGAGTGTTGGAGGAGGGACCGACCCGGGCCAACCCCACTCTCTGAGGCGGGTGGTGGTGCTGGGAGATGGGTTCGACCCCAGGAATGTTTCTTCACCCCGATCTTGGAGGGGAGCTCAGATCACGGCTGCTGAGAAAGGCGTGGGGGCAGCAGGTTGGTAGGGAGAGGGCCATGAGCTGGCTGTCAGCATCTGGGGAAGAGGTGTTGTGGGATGTGTGGTCCCCTAGGGGACCAAGGGATGATTAGTGTTGCCAGGTGTCTGGTTTTGAACCGAACAGTCCGGTATTTCAGTTTTCTGGCCGGGAAACAAATTGAGAAAATACCGGACATATAAATGTCTGGTATTTTTCTAATTAAGTTTTTACTATCATCATGAGTATCGGTACGTAGTTGCGTACTGTCTGGCTGGTAGACACATTCACACTGCGTGAGCATGTCTACCAGCCAGGCAGTACGCAAATACACAGTAGAGAGGTGGAGGCAGGCCGGACAGCGCCCTGGGATCTGCGTACACCAGGGCCAGCCCCGCACCCTGCCAGCCGATTCCGCCCCCTGCTCTCCCTCCCCGACCAGCCCTGCTCCTGGTGGCTGGTTCTCCCCTGGCCAGTCCTGCTCCCCCCAAATCCCTCACGGCCAGCCCTGCTTCCCTCCGGCTGGTTCTCCCCCCCATCTCCTCCAGCCGGCCCTGCTCCCCCTGACTCCCTCCCATCCAGCCTTGCTTTCTGCCAGTCATTTCCATCCCCCTGCACCCCCCATCTCCCTCAGCCAGCCCTGCTCTCCTCCTAGCCAGTCCCCTCTCTCCCCCCTCCCAGATCTGAGATCAAGTGTGTCCGGTATTTTTTTTTTTAAACCATGTGGTAACCCTAGGGATGATTAGGTCACAGACACCATTGTACTGGGCCCCAGCAAAGGAAATCCTAGTTAGCCCTTTGGGCACCTCTGGGGAGACACGGAATCCACATGGGATTTTCTGACGAGCCTCCCACAGGAAACCAGAAAGAAGGACAGGGAATGCTGGTGCTGGTACCAGTGTCATGTACAGAAGCAAAGGAAATGCGTGGAGCCAAGGACAGATGTAGCACTGAGATTCCGCCTCCCATGCTCCCAGCACTAGTGAAGGGCCCTAGAGGCTAGATAGTGCTCTGGGGGAACCTCAGTGCTGCTGCCCCTGCTCTGTAAGAAGAGGCTGACAGTCTCCAGGCTATCAGACTGGCACCTTTCACCAGCTCTAATTACACTTCTATAAAACCTTTTTTATCTTAAGGTTTTTTTTCCCCCTTTTCCTCTCCTCCAGGCCCCCCCCCGCCCCACACGTACACCTACACCCCCTTCCTCACCCATTGTTTCATAAACATGTTTTCTCTCACCCCCATCTCCTTAAATACTCTCCAATCTATTTCATTTAGTTTAAATTAGTGTCAGCATACAAAGTGGCTTTAATTAAATTGGTTTATCTTAGTGAAACGTGTGACTTGGTATGTATACCAGGCATTAGGCCATAGTTTTGCACTTTCATCCCTGCATATAGATTCCTGTACCCATGCAGATCTTTTTGCAAGGTTGGTGCTTTAGTTTCTTCTCCTTTCTGAGGTATACTTCTGTCACAGAGGTACAGGTTCTGGTCTATGCCCTTAACTAGTCACCAGTCTCCTGGGAGCGACCCTTTAGGCTCCAAAGACGCACAGGGGGGAAGGCCCATCGACTTTTAGACTGGGCCTTCTGCACCAGCGTTCCCTGTCCTCTCTGGTTTGCTGCAGGGAATCCAGCCGAGCCAGACTCCCTGTGAGAGGCTTGGATTGTACGTCTTTAGGACCCAGTGCTCCAGAGGAGTATTTAGAGAGACACAAGGAGCCTTTCCAAAGCCAAGTAACCATTTATTGGTCATCTGACTACAGAATCTGGAAGTCCCTAGGTTAGCATAGAGAAATGAAGTTAACCCATATATTGTTCACCCTGGTCACAGCAGTGACATGATGAGCCAGCCAAGCTATGATGGACTCCTCTGGCTCTCTCCCTCTTCCCCTTTTGTCTGTTCAGTTCAGGCTCCCATTTTCCCAGGCTCCTGATGTTTTGTTCTCCAGCTCAGATCCCAACTCCTGCTGGCCAAGGTTTCCTGCTAAACGTTTATTGTTCAGTGGTTTGGGGCATCTCTTTGTCTTGCTAGATCCTCTGTTGATTTGAATCAGTTTGAGCCAGTTCTTTGACTGTTTCATTCTCCCCAGAAAGCAAGAAGGCTCACTCACACCTTCTGTCTCTTATGATGTTCCAAGAGCTTAGTTAACCCTGTTGCACCCACCATAAAGGGTGCTATAGAAGCACGAAGTACTGTATGCTTGGTTTATGTGCCTGTATTCCAATCTGAAGCATGAAATGCAGGATTTGGATGTTCTGTTACTGAGCCTAAGTTTGTAAATTGGGTCCATCTGGTGTTTTATAAGTGCCTAAATGACTTGTAGTTTAACTTAATAGAAGATACGAAGGTTTCAGATGATGACTAGGCTGGCCATGTGGTGTATATATACTTGCATGCACACCATGGAATACATACAATTATATCATTTGTCATAACAGATTAATAATTATATCATTTAATTGCTAAGTGATTAATAATTGGGTGATTTTTCATTTTCCTTTCAGACTATATTTATCCAAAAGAACAAGCCACTGAAAGATCCACTGAGCTCTTTCCGCTGGCAGGGCTTCAAGCTTGAAGAGTACCTTATTGGGCAACCTATTGGGAAAGGGTGCAGTGCTGCTGTGTATGAAGCAGCTATTCCTTTGTCTTCCAACCACCAGAGAAGTGAAGACTGTAGGTCTTTAGAAAGGAAGAGTCCAGATACACAGTGGGATCATGGCTCACTTATCCAGGCCGCAGAAGAAAAAGCTATACAAGCAAACCAGCAAAGAGCTGCTTTCCCATTGGCTATCAAAATGATGTGGAACATTTCGGTAAGGAGTCAGTCTTTAATCTTCCTGTTTGTTACTTGCGAAGTATGAGTGAAATGTTTACCACGGATGTGTTGAAAGCTCTAATTATTTTGTGCACGATTAGTAGATTGGAGCAAAGTTGTTGGTGTGTAGCAATGGAAACACATTATTAACAAACAGTCACACAGCGAAGTAATTAATGCTCATCAAAAAGGCTTCCTATTGCAGTCAGCATCAGCCTGACATTTGTGTGCCAATGCTGGTTTGTCTGTTATTTCTTAACAATAGTGACAATATTTTCTAGAGAAAATTATGTTTAATATAAAGAGAAACTTTTAAGAACTAGGAGGAAATGGGGAAAAAAACACTGCTAAAGAAGTTTGAAGAATCACTGTTTTTAGAGATTCAAGGATAAAATGTAGATGTCCATTTCCTGGGGATAATTTAAGTATGAAGCAAGGAATGCTGCATGAATTCTGAATAGCTAAGTTACCCATTGGAGGCCCCTCGCCATTAGGTGGATTAACCAGATCTCTTTTCATAGGTTTCTTCCAGTCCAAGTGATTCGGTGATGAGCCATATCCCAAAGTCACTATCCTAAAGATCCAGAAAGCATTATTCTTTTCTCAGTGAAAAATTCATTATACTCATTCCAGTCCACAAGCTGCTGAGCATGAGTGATTCCTTAAATATGTTGGATTCATAGATTTTTTTCGGAGTCAGAAGGGATCATTATGGTCATCTTGTTAGACCTCCAGCGTAACTGAGGCCATAGAATTTCACTCTAATTCCTGACTCAAGCCCACATCTTTTATCTGAGCTAGCAAATATATTTTAGGAAGACATCCAGTTTTATTTTCACGATTTTAAATGACAAGGTACCCACTACACCAGGGGTGAGCAATAATTGTCATGGAGGGCCACTCCAAGAAAATGGAAAGTGATCGAGGGCCACATTCTTCCATGGTATTAATGGAGGAGGTGCAGGGTCTGGGATGGAGGTTGGATGCAGAAGGCAGTTGTGATCTGGGGCACTGGACTAGGATGCAGGGAATTGGATTGTGACCTAGAGCAGGTGTTTTGGGGCATGGGAGGGGGTACAGGGATTTGGATTGTGAGCTAGGGCAGGAGGAGACTGTGAACCGTGGCAGAGGATTGAGGCATCAAATCTGGGAGGGAACTATGGATATAGGAGGGGGGCAGAGGATTTGGGTATGTGGAGGAGGGGGCAGGAGTGGGGAGCAGAAGGTCGGGGAAGCGAGGTAATGGGGTGCCAGAGGTAGGCTCTGTTGGGAGACTTACCAGCCAGCAGTGGTTCTTGAGTCAGCCTCCCTGCCTACCCCACCCCCCACACATGCTGCAACCATATGCTCTGGAGCCCCTTGTGCTTCATGACTGTCTGCTGTTGAAACAGGCAGCTCCCATTGGCCCGTTCCTCGCCAGAACTGGCCATTGGGATTGTTCTGGGTGTGCAAGCAGTTCCTAAAGCTGCTCCCTCTCCTCTGGACTCTCAGTTTTTAAAGAAAAACCACCCCACAGCTGTGTTTCTGAGCAGCATGCGGGTGGGGCAAGGCAAGTGGGGAGCCTGGCCTGCAGCGTCCGTGAGCTGGATCTGGCCCACGGGCCATATTTTGCCCCAGCCTGCACTACACCCTCGCTGTTTAAAAACTGCCCCTTGTTTATAACTTGAGTGTACATAGCTTCAGCTTCAGAGTTATCTGCTTCACGTTTTGGTATCTAGATTGAATGATTTTATAGCTCTGATTTTTATAGCTCAGATTTGAATATAATTTTTTATGTAACTGTTGTTGTAGGCTGGTTCTTCAAGTGAAGCTATCCTCAGCACCATGAGACAGGAGCTCATTCCAGCAAGTGGTGCTGCCTTATCTGGGGAATATGGAGCTGTAGCTTGCCACAGGTATTTTGTTATTAGAGGATGCTCTTTTGGTCCTGAAAAATGATCAGAGCATCTTTTTTCTTAAAACATGTTAATAAAGTTTCTTATAAGAGTCTGTGACAACCATGAATTTCAAATACAGAATAACTGAAAATCAACTTTCACTTTCACATATCTATCAAGACCTGAGTTCAGGGTGCTGTTTCCCTGCAGTAGCTATTGCCATCTCTAAAATCCCCCCAAAAAGAGGGAATAGTACTGATATGCTTGGAACTTGAGGCCTCTTTCATCCAGATCCCAATGTGGCTTACACATTTTATTCCTTATACTTGTACAATGTGTGTGGAAATCACTTCATCAGACCTCTGAAATTCAGCAGTAGTTTAGAATGCACAGGCATACTACAGAGTACCTAAAAAGAGGCAGTTAAGAGAGGCTGCATCTACTTGATGCTACGCAGGGGATTTAATGAGAGCAGGATTGAATCACTCAAACTGGACCTTGGCTAACTTTTCTATCATTTCCCTGCCCTCCTGCAAAAGAAAGACTTTGACGTTGTTAGTCACCACACAAGTAATCAGGACCTCTATGTTATATTTTAACTAAATGATGGCATCTCCAGAAGTACAGTGTACCTTAAACATGGTTTTTTGGAGAATGAGTTCATAGGGATTGTTGGAGGAGAGAAACCCACCAAATCTATTCTTTGTTTTTTATAGTGCCTAGCACAGTTGGGTCCTGGCCTATGATTAGGGCTTCTAGGTTCAATGTAAATCAGGGGTTGGCAATAATTTTTGACCAGGGGCCACTCCAGAAGAGGCAGGGCCTTAGGCAGAAGGGATGGGGCCAGGACAGTTCCGCACCCACGGACCCTGATTGGTTGGGGAGCATGCAAAATCTTTGCCCAGCCCCCAGAGAGAACCGCCAAATGTTCCAAACGGCTGGTGGTTCCTTCTAGGTACCTGTGTCCCTGCTAGTGAGAGGAGACTTTGCATGCTCCCCCCACCCCAAGGTCAGTCGGGCCTGGGGAGGGAGAGCACATGAAGTCTCTTGCTCCCTGCCCCCACCCTGCAAGGGATTGCTGCACTTAGAGTCAACCACTAGCTGAGCCCCTTGCAGGATGGGAGGAGACTTTGCACGCTTGGTGGTTCCTTCTAGGTACCTGTGTCCCTGCTAGTGAGAGGAGACTTTGCATGCTCCCCCCACCCCAAGGTCAGTCGGGCCTGGGGAGGGAGAGCACATGAAGTCTCTTGCTCCCTGCCCCCACCCTGCAAGGGATTGCTGCACTTAGAGTCAACCACTAGCTGAGCCCCTTGCAGGATGGGAGGAGACTTTGCACGCTT